AGGAGATTATTTGTATTTTAATCAAACATCAGGGATGCATTTGTAATTTATCCAAAAAAATTAAAGATTAATATTAAAAAGTTTTGTTTGGAAACTAAATATTTTGAGTAAAAAATTATTATAAATTGTCATATTATTCTTTTTATTTTTATTTTTATAAACAATAAAAAAATTCCTAAAATAATTTATTTACAAACTAGACGTTCAGTTTCAGTAATGAATTTTGTTTGAGATGTTCTAGAAACTTTCCTTACACTGACAAGTTAATTTTAAATTTTGCTCTAGTCCTGGTTGGTAGGATTGGGTTGTACATGAATTAAGTTTGTTTTCTTAATAGTCTCGAACTACTATGAATCCTTTTCAATAAATGACCAAGTTATTGAGAATTTTTATATAAGTTTAAATATATCACTTAAAAATATTAAAAATTTCAAAAATTCTATTAAATGTTGAAATTTACATATGACTCACATTATGTGAGTCCTACACAAATATTAAATATTTAATAAAATTTTTAAAATCTTTACCATTACTTTGTATCACCACTACCGGGCCTGTAAGAGTTTAGGGTTGAACCCACTGTAGTCAGGCCTTTAAAGTCATGTTACTTTTTTTTTTGAATGGGAGAAAAATCCATTAATGATAAGCCAAAACGGCACTTACAAGAGAGTCCATGCTTACACAAATAGAGCTTACCCTAGCAAAGGAAAAATGAGCAAAGAGACACATAAGCAAAGTTAAAATAGTATCAAAAATATGATCATACACGATCCTAACCCGTATTGCAAAGCAGAAGTGATCATAAGAGATCAGCACTAGGACTAGTCGGAGATACCACAAAAGCTTCACTCTAGAGAGGGTAAGCTACCAAAATCACACCCATCAAGCCCAAACAAACTGAAACACAGAATAAAAGTTGAAAAAAACTCAAAAAGAAACAAACCAAAAAAAAGATCTGGGAAAGAAATATCAGATCTGGTGGAAGGATGGCCACGACGTCTTGGTGGTTGTGTCGGTAGCGAGAAGAGGCGATGGGCGGTAGATCCGTTGGTGTTGTGGTTGTGGCGGCATGAAACGGTGAAAGGCGGTGGAGAAGTGGCAGATCTAAATCCGGTTGGGAAGTGAAGGGGGAGAAAACGCAAAAACAAATTTCCACCCTAGGGGGATAAGCACCTCACAAGGAGGGAGAGAGTGGGAAGAATAATCTCCCAAGAGTTATTTTGCAAAATGTAAAAGAAAAAAATTGGAAAGAGGAGAGAGGCGACCGGAGAGAGGCCGGAGGCCCCCTCCCAAACAGCAGCACCAAATAGTAGCCCCATTATTCCTTAACCAACTAATTTATATTGATTGTTAGCTTATTAATCTTTAATGAGCCATAAATCATGTCTAGAACTCGAATACTGACTAAATGGGCGAAAAATAATGAGACAGGATTACACCTGCTCTTTGTCTCTGAAAAAATAAATATGGAGAGAATAATTGACAGAGCAAACAGGCTCTTTGTTTTCAATTGTATTAATCCTTACGGGGAGACTCCATTTTATAGGAGTGATTACACAACATTTGCAAGACAATATAATAAAAGGCTACTAGACAACATAATGAAAGGCAACAATCATAATTAAAGGCACAACATATAAAACTAAAAGTAGCCGAAAGGAAATGGCACTAACTAAAGCAAATTGCACTATCTAAGGCATCTGATGACTACTAATGACACACAAATATAATATATACATTATATATATTATATATTATTAATAATGAAAAGAAGCTTGATTTCAAACACACCTTCATGTTCCTGAACATAATTGTCAGTGTGTATGCCTAAATTGACATGAACTCATAAGCCCCTGTGTCTCTCAAAGAGTACTAGAAACTCTGCACAGCATATTGAAAATGTCTAAAATCAAGGAATACACAGGCCTGAGAATTTTCCTTTCATGTGAGCCCTCTCCATACACTAATTCGTTGTGTAATGAATGCAACAAGCTAGTATTTATATTGGTACCAAAATCAAGGATTAAAGAACAGGACACAAACTATTTGAGGGGAGAAAAAAAAAACAGAAACTCCATATTCATCTTGTTCATAAATAACAAAATTTTCAGTTTTCACACTGGAATTAACAAACAATTGCTAAATGTAGTTATAAATCTTCCCTAGAATGTACATATGAGCTAAATTTTCATGGTGTCCATTGATCTGTATGGGGAACAACATGGTAAACACAGCATCGCTAACCCAGAAAATCATTCTCTAAACCATAGCATACATATATATATATAGTTATGTACAACTTTTATTCTGACACTATTCGCTGTTGATTCAAATGGTAGGGACTGGTTCTTCACTTATTCCAACGGTATTCAAGCTAGGCAGTTTGGCTGCTTCTGTAATAAAAGAATGCCAATTTTTTTGACGACTCATCTGCTGTTTGAATCGCTGAATACCGGGAAAAAAATCAAATATAATACAATTATTATGATTCAAGGCTGAGGTTGTGTTAAGAATATAATTTATTTACTAGAAAATTTACCTTTCTCACAGTATAAGATCTTTCCAGCTTTAGTGAAGATAAGCTCAACAACAGTATAAGATCTTTCTCACAGTATAAGATCTTGGAAGATGGACACTTGTATAGAAAATTTACCTTTCTCACAGTATAAGATCTTTCCAGCTTTAGTGAAGATAAGCTCAGGGAAGATGGACACTTCACTGTTTGGTAGTTGAAAATAAAATTAATGTTAAAAGGTGGGATGATGAGAATAAAAAATATGTAAATGGCTTTACTTACTCTCGGTGATGGTAGCCGACAGTTCCATACGATATTTACAGTTTTC